CTCTCAGGGAGTCCCATTATCATTTTATCCTTAGGGATATTTCTTCATTCTTTATTTTGGTCCCTTGATTGATTTGAAGTTGTTCTGTTGTCTTGTAAATATTTTAATGTTATGGCTATCTAGTTGTTGATTTGGTTACTCTGAGTTTTTATTTTGCTTTGTTTTGATATATCCAGATGTGTGGTAAAGGCATGCTACATTAGTCACTAGTTAAGCAGCACTGGCATACTCCTAAGCTGTCTCCAAGTGGGACGAGTAACTGGTGGGAATGTGGGCATGGGTATGTGTCTTCAATTCATTCAGAGCAACTGCAGGTGGGGTGACCAGGTAATATCTACTGTCTGTCATTGATCCAGTGGTTCAAGAGTGGGTGGTATCACTTACTCATTAAGTTGGACAGTGGGGGTAGATGTAATAGATGTATTTGAATAATAGGGAAACAATGTCCACTTCTCACTGGATAGAGCAGAAAAAAAGATGAGAGAAAATGAATGAAAATAAGAGTAAGAGAGGAAAATGAATAAATAAAAAAGAATAAAAAGTAGAAAAATAACAAAAAAGTTTATTAATGGGTGGCATGGTAGCAGTCTCACACGCCTCTAAGTCAGCAGACACATGGCATCCTATCCACTGGGACACATGTTACTGTCTACAGTGGTAGCCTGTAATTTTCACACTATTGATAGGAATGCAAGCCTTACCCATAGAGACAGCAGAAGCGTGTTGTGTGCTCCATGTGTGAATATGCCCCTGCCCACAAAATTGGATAAAACCCTATGTTTATGTATGCTCTTGCCCTTGAGTGTAGAGGCAGCATGAGCTCAGCATGTGGTCTGCTTATGTTGGTGCCCATGACTATAGAAGTGGCAGATGATTAATATGTGGTTCTTGTGTCCCATTCATTGCAGGTGGCAAGTACTTGGCATGTGATCTACACATGTATGTACCTCTAACAGCGGAGGTTGCCATTTCATGGCATTCAACCCATTAGAGCACATCCTGTCAGCCACACAGGCAACAGGCACATGGTGTGCACTCTGCAGGTGCATGACACAGTGTGCTGGGGCCTCAATGAAGCAAGCACCGCTGGATTGGAGAAAGAGGCAAGCTGTATGGACTGGGTATTGATGGAGGTGTCATTAGCTACCAGGTTGGTAGAGGTAGAGGATCTCATCCCTAGTCACCAAGAAGGTGTTGGGGGGAAGGCAGATGTGAGCCCATTGCACACCTGAATGACTGTAGTGAATTATTTATTTGATTATTTATTTGATTTTTGCCCTGACTCAATAAAGGGAGAGGCTGCTCCCTTTCTCTAGTCTAGTATCTCTAGTCACTGCTTCAAAGAAATTTCCTTCCATTTGGGCTCACAACCCACATAACTAAGAACAATTATTACAAAGTGGTTTAATTCCTGTTTACTGGCTCCCTCTTGCTCTGCAGTAACAGGTGCCACTGGAGTTTTTACCTGTTTCCCTGAACTTTCCTCTTAGATATAGCTTGTATTCTGCTCATTTTGCTTTGCTCAGATTTATTTACATGGTGTCTCTGTCTTAGTGGAGATTCCATAAAGTTTGCTTCTCCTCACACATGCATTTTGCCTGCTGTGACTCAAAATGGTCATGCTGTGCTGGGCTCCTGCTCCATCACTCTAGCCTTGTACATGGTTTCATTCTATAATTTTTCCAATCAGTGCTTAATCCATTTCCAATCAGTGTTTATCTCTTCATTTGATACTCAGTTCCAGGATTTTAATCCATCTCTTTCACTTGGTTTCTGGGTTTTTTATAGAGGGACTAGGTAAAGTGTGCCACGAAAATGCCACCTTATCTCCTTTTATGCTTACCATTCTCTCTTCTAAGGATCTGATTGCACTTCTTCCAAGACAGATTTCTTCATTCTCTGGTATATTCAATATTCTTCACCAACACCATAATTCAAATGCACTGATTATTCTGTGGTCTTCTTTATTCACTGTCTAACTTTTGAATGCATATGAGGTTACTAAAAATACCAGGACTTGTGTCAGGTGAAACTTAATCCTCAAAATGATATCTTTGCTCTTCAACACTTTAAAGAGGTCTTGTGCAGCAGATTTGCCTAATGCAATACATCGTTTGATTTCTTGACTGCTATTTCCATGAGTGGTGATGGTTGATCCAAGCCAAATGAAGTCTCCTATGACTTCAGTCTTTTGATATGGATGTTGTTTACTGGTCCAGTGGTGAGGATTTTTGTTTTCTTTACCTTGAGGTGCAACCCATACTGAAGGTTGTGACCTTTGAGCTTCTTCAGTAAGTGTTTTAAGTCCTCTTTACTTTCAGCTAGCAAGGTTGTAGCATCTGCATATCGCAGGTTGTTGATGAGACTTCCTCCAATCCTGATGCCGCGTTTTTCTCCATATAATCCAGATTCTCAGATAATGTCTTAGCATACAGGTTGAATAAGTGTGGTGAGAGAATAAAACTCTGGTGCACACCTTTCCTAATTTTAAACCATTCGTTGTTCCCATGTTCTGTTCAAACAACCGCTTCTTGGGTTAAGTGTTTCACAATACTCATATTTTGCAATGTTTTCCATAGCTTGTCATGAGACACACAGTTGAAAGCCTTTGTGTAGTCAATAAAGCACAGGCAAATATCCTTCTGATATTCTCTGTTTTCAGCCAAGATCCATTTGACATCAGCAATGATATCCTTCATTCCACATTCTCTTCTGAATCTGCCTTGAATCTCTGTAAGCTCTCTGTCAATGTATATTTATAGCTATTTTTGTGTTACCTTTGGTAAAATTATACTTGCATGGAATATCAGTGATATTGTCTGATGATTTATGCTGGGTCACTTCTCATTGGAATGGGCACAAATATGGATATCTTCCAGTTAGTTGGCCAGGTAGTTGTCTTCAAAATTTCTTGACATAGATGAGTGAGTGCCTATGGTGCCCCATCTGTTTGTTGAAAGATTTTTCCAGTGCCTTAATCTTTGCCAATGTCTTCAATGGAACTTGGACTTCTTCCTTCAGGACCATTGGTTCTTGATCATATGCATGAAATAGTTGAACATCGACCATTTCTTTTTGTTACAGTGAATCTCTGTATTCCTTCCATCTTCTTTTGGTGCCCTCCGCATCGTTCAATAATTTGTCCATAGAATCTGTCAATACCACAAGTCAAGACTTGATTTTTTTCTTCAGTGCCCTCAGCTTGAAAAATGCTAAGCGTGTTCTTCTCGTTTGGTTTTCTAACTCCAGGTCTTTGCACATTTCATTATAATATTTGACTTTGTCTTCTCAAACTGATATTTGACATTTTCTGTTCAGCTCTTGTACCTCCTAAATTCTTCCATTTGCTTTAGCATCTCTATGCTGGAAAGCAAGTTTCAGAGTCTCTTCTGACATTCATTTTGGTCTCTTCATTATCTCTTGTCTTCTTAATGATCTTTTGTTTTCTTCCTCTATGATGTTCTTGATATCAACCCACAACTCTTTTGATCTTTGGTAATTAGTGTCTAATGCATTAAATCTGTTCTTGAGATGGTCTGTAATTTCAGGTGTGATATATCCAAGGTCATATTTTTGCTCTCATAGATTTGATTTAATTTTCTTCAGCTTCAAACTGCATTTTCATATGAGCAATGGATGATTTCTTCCATAGTCTGCCTTATTTTGGCCAATGATGTTGCGGTTTTATACCGTCTGTTTCCATAGAGGTATTCAATTTGATTTCTGTG